CTTCGCGTGAACGTCAGGAACCTGTTACTTGTTTATTTATAATATATAGTTATATTATATGATATGTTAATTCGTAACCATAACCACAGCTTGAAACGTGAAGCCTTGATAATGCAATCAATGTTGCTTGATACGCCATTGAAGCAACATCACATGGAACAGTGAAGGCCATTAACTGTCAACATAAGAATACGAATTCATAATGCCGAAAACTAGCAGCTCCAGGTCTTTGCTTATATCGAGCCGCAGTATCATTGGCTGACACGGAATAATTTTGTCGCCTGTTGTGACTTTCGCATGCGACCTAACGATGCATTTGTGTCTCGGTGTGAAAAAGGTGGTTTCGATGTCAACGGCGGGCAAGGTGAACCTTCGTGTGAGGTTATGGCAGAGCTTCCGCGCTGGGCTCTCTGAGTGAGCGCGGCGCCAGGTGTGTCACTCACTTCCGGCGAAGCGCGTTGGTGTCGGTCCTGACACGGGAACCGTCTGCGCTAGTGACCTGCACGCAGATCGTTGACGTGAGCGCCTCGTCTATTGGGATGAGACTTGGGCTGAGTCCTGCCCTGGCTCGCCCGAACATTGCCCCTTTTTCACCAGTGCAGCATAGTGGTCGGACAAAGTTCGGTGGCGGAAGGTATTTACGCCACAGTGCTGTCAGGGCTTTATCTAGATTGTGGGAAGCCGTGTGACGCCAGCAGCCAGTAGCCGGCGTGCCCAAAAACCCGTCACTGGCACTATATGCGTGACGTCAGCGTCGGTTTCAGCTGAGTGTGGCTCAGTGTTCGGACACTGGTGCTGACGCCTCAGTGTCCCCATGCGGGTGTAGTCGGGCCGCACGCGCCGGATCGGCGGCGCTGACACACCGGCAGTACCGCCACACAGCTGGCCGTGGTGCCGGCCTGCCACCGTGCCGAGCAGAGACGCACACGTGCGGTCACATGGTGCTGATCAGAGACGCGCATGTGCGGTCACGTGGTGCCGGGTAGACACGCACACGTGCGGTCACATGGTGCCAAGCAGACACGCACACGTGCGGTCACGTGATGCCGAGCAGAGACGCACACGTGCGGTCACATGGTGCCAAGCAGACACGCACACGTGCGGTCACATGGTGCCAAGCAGACACGCACACGTGCGGTCACATGGTGCCAAGCAGACACGCACACGTGCGGTCACGTGGTGCCGGGCAGACACGCACACGTGCGGTCACGTGAGGACGACAACCGGACAAAGTGAAAACCCGGAATGTTTACCGAATAGGTCAAAGGACAAATAGTTAAATGAGTAAAAGTCAAGCAGATTTTTAAGGTATTGTTTTGACTATCAAAGAGACAATAGTCAAACGGTAATAAGTCTCAAGAACAAAAAGTCAAAAGGGAGAAGTCAAATGGATAAAAGTCTAAAGTTTAAGGCCAAAGGTAATGTGGTAAAAGCCAAAACTGATTAAGACCACGTGATAATAAAGGAAATGGCTGCTTGTTGCCGTTAAGTTCCCCACTCGTCTGTAAAAAGGAAAGAGACGGGCCTAAGAAATACAAGTCAAATGAAAGAGGTTCCTGAGAGCCCTGAAGGAAATAAGCTGAGAACGTCGCAGCATCGTCCATTGGGCAGGCGTACTGTCAAGTCAAATCCGAGGCGCTCCGCTGTCTGCACAGCCGCTAGGCCAGTGCGTCCCAGTTACTCTCAGGCTGGGACTCCTTAACATGTCAGCCAGGCCCCTTGCAAGCCGTTTTGTTTTAGGTGTAGTTGGGAGCGGCGCAGCAGGAAGCCAGCGAGTGGGCGGTTACCCGCCCCCTTGGTTGAGGTAGTAGATCCTAAGTTGTGTTTGTAAGACCCTTGTTGCATCAAGTTGCCAATTTAATAGTCCGCTTTGGATCAGGAAGACTTTCTTTGTGTTAAGGAGCCTCTTTTGCTAGCTCGGGACGCTCCGTTTGTCCATTTGATGCCCTTCCCCCCCCCCCCCCTCTTGTCCCGGGGTGGGCTTCATCCCTCCTGAGCCCCCCCCCTCCCCCCGCCTGGGGGCGAGGTCCGTATCCCCCTTGTGATTTTTTGATAGCCTGGTATGTCATTGTTCATTTTAGTTTTATCCTTTTTGACGTTTTGCTTGTGACTTGTACATCTGACTCATTGCGTTTGGATTTTTGACTGTTAAACCTTTTGCAATGTGACTTTGTCTTTTCGACCTTTTGGATTTTTCACCTTGTATTTGATTTATATGCTGTTTGACTTTTCGCCACTTGACCTCTGTCGTTTGACTTTTTGTCGTGGGACCGTTGCCGAGAACGGAACTCGCCGCGCCCGTGACGCCCGCCGAAGCCAAACCGGATTGCTTATCATTTGAGCGTTTTGGAGCGGCAGTGGTTAGCATATTTGATTAGTGGGCGCGCGGTGTGGTAAACAAATACGACGGCGATGTTGTCCACGCGCCTCGTGCGATTTCTCTTGGCGGTGGATTTCATGGGTCGTTCCGGACTGGGTGTCGTAACCAAAACCAGTCATATTTCATTGGTCGCAGATGAAGGCCATAGTTTAAAGGTGCTTGTGTCGTACGTCGCTCGGGGAAGATAGGGCACTTTTTGTTGTTTGCCGTTCCCTCATGCGTTCAAAACTGGACTTTGGCTGTGTGTTGACGACCGGGCACCGGACCCATCAAACGCGCTCTTGGCCGCGGTTCATCCCGGTGCGCACCGTATAGCTACGGGGGCTTTTCGTGCATCAGCCATCAATAGTCTTCTGATGGAGGTCCGCAAGCCCCATTGCGTGATGATATAATGATGAGAACGTCACGGCAAAACGCGCAACGGAAATAGCATTGCGAGGGGAACTGGCGGGACCGCGCCACAGGTGCGAGCGAGCACGGTTTCCAGGTCACCCCCACGTGAAAAGCAGAGTTTTCTTGCAGGACACGAATCCTGTTCCAACAGCAACGGTCACGGTAATCAGCTTTGTCGTGTTGCCACTACAGTGGGGGAAAGGAAGCGGCTTCTTGCTGTTGACGTGCAGGTCGCACTTTATGACGCACACCGCTGCGTGTTGTTGACTGGCAACAGATCACGCTGCCGTCGATGTGGTGACCCGCCGGCGGTGCGTCGTTTGTTGCTGGGCTGCCGTCTCCCTCTGTACGGCGAGCGTGATTTTTCGGAGAGCGTGACCAAAATCTTACACGAGCTGACGTTTTAGAAGATGATTCCCACGCAGCTGAGGCTTGTCGGGGTTTCCAGTCCCTTTCTGTTGCGCGTTTTGCCGTGACGTTCTCATCATTATATCATCACGAGCTCCCAAGGCATTTCAAGGTGGCGATTTTTTGTTTGTTCGTTTTGCTTGTTGCTTTTTGTGTTTAGAACCCGTTTGATTTCGACCCTGTCTCAGTGGCACAGTAATTGGCGCTGCATGACACCCTGCAGTCATTGCGCCAGAAAGTCCAAGTCGGCAACAGGTGTGAGATCATATATATATATATATATATATATATATATATATATATATATATATATACATCGTCTCGTAGCCTCTTGGAGATAAATATTTATCGTAAAATGGGGCTAGCGGCGCTTAAGGAGGTGTGTCTGGTAGGCAGCGCGCTTAGGAGTTCTCGAAATAGCGGTTGTTTGGCCATCAGTTACTTAAAATAGATAGAGATGAAAATGAAGGTATTAAGAAATGCAGTGATAATTTAACGTAGAGTAATTATATGATATAGAAATAAATGTAAAGCTCGCAGTATCAGCTTCGCCGTGCGTGACACCCAACCCATGTGCCAGTCGCCATTGTCCTGCACGATTCCGGACCCCGTGTGATGTTCACGTATGTTCCCCGGGGTGCCCGACCCCGTGCTTCTTTCCAGCGGTACCCGGCCACTACCTTGCGTAACACCTGATACCCCACGCCTCTATCCAGCAGCACCCGGCACTGCCTCTGCGTGACACCTGACATCCCCGTCTCTGTCCGGGAGCACCCGACACTGCCCCGCTTGACACCTGACATCCCCGTCTCTGTCCGGGAGCACCCGACACTGCCTCTGCGTGACACCTGACATCCCCCGTCTCTGTCCAGGAGCACCCGACACTGTCTCTGCATGACACCTGACATCCCCGTCTCTGTCCGGGAGCACCCGACACTGCCCTGCATGACACCTGACATCCCGTCTCTGTCCAGGAGCACCCGACACTGCCTCTGCGTGACACCTGACATCCCCTGTCTCTGTCCAGGAGCACCCGACACTGCCCTCGCGTGACACCTGATATCCCCGTCTCTGTCCAGGAGCACCCGACACTGTCTCTGCATGACACCTGACATCCCCTGTCTCTGTCCGGGAGCACCCGACACTGCCTCTGCGTGACACCTGACATCCCCTGTCTCTGTCCGGGAGCACCCGACACTGTCTGAATGACACCTGACATCCCCTGTCTCTGTCCGGGAGCACCCGACACTGTCTCTGCATGACACCTGACAGCCCCTGTCTCTGTCCGGGAGCACCCGACACTGCCTCTGCGTGACACCTGACATCCCCTGTCTCTGTCCGGAGCACCCGACACTGCCTCTGCGTGACACCTGACATCCCCTGTCTCTGTCCGGGAGCACCCGACACTGTCTCTGCATGACACCTGACATCCCCGTCTCTGTCCAGGAGCACCCGACACTGCCTCTGCGTGACACCTGACATCCCCTGTCTCTGTCCGGGAGCACCCGACACTGTCTCTGCATGACACCTGGCATCCCCTGTCTCTGTCCGGGAGCACCCGACACTGCCTCTGCGTGACACCTGACATCCCCGTCTCTGTCCAGGAGCACCCGGCACTGCCTCTGCGTGACACCTGACATCCCCTGTCTCTGTCCGGGAGCACCCGACACTGTCTCTGCATGACGCCTGACATCCCCCGTCTCTGTCCAGGAGCACCCGGCACTGCCCTCGCGTAACACCTGATACCCCACGCCTCTATGCAGGAGCACTCGGCACTGCCCCTGCGTGACACCTGACACCCCCTGTCTCTGTCCGGCAGTACCTGCGCGTGGTGGAGCGGCTGCGGCCGCTGGCCATGACCGAGCAGGAGTACGTGCTGCTGCGCGCGCTGGTGCTGGTCAACTGCGACATCCACGTGGTGAACGCGCCGCTGGTGCGCAGCATGCGCGACACGCTGGTGCAGTCGCTGGCCGACTGCGTGGCCGCCATCAGGTGAGCCGGGCGGCAGCGGGCAGACCCGGACGTGCGCTGCTGGCGCGCGCCGACAGCGGGTCTCGGGGATTCTCGGGCGGGTCTCGGCGACGGGAGCGATCCTCGCCGATGAGCTGATGGGAACACATGGGGACCGGAGAGCGTGGCATAGTGCAGGCCACGCGGTACAAGATTGTATGCTGGTGCGACATAACGCTGAAGGGCCCGGCCGCAAGGAAGCAGCTGTGCTGTGCAGAAGCTTTTGCCTTGCTTCATCGTCCGCTTGTTGGCGGTTCTCGGAATGTGCTTCGCCCAGGCCAGTGTTGTGTCTGTCATACCACCGCCACTCGACATGCCTTCAGACGCCCGCGTTGTTTGCCGCTTGCGCGGGACCGAAGCTGGTGCGTCGTCTTCCAGTCGGGGCAGCCTGCGGCATGGGCCGACGAGCAGCCGCTGCGTCCTTGAGCTACACGTACAATGCCACCGTGCTGTCCGATACGGATGGCAGGACAGAGTGGTGTTCGGCCGGCCCAGTGTTCGACTGGATCGTCAGGCGGTTGATGCGCGCTGTGGCCCTCCGTTCCCTTCCCCTTTTGACCCGGCAGGTCGACCCAAATATCGTCAGTGCGCAGGGGAGCGGTCACTCGGAAGCCGCTGTTGTTCGTCGGAACGTTGGTGCTGGGATCGTTTATCGTGACGTTGAAGAGGCTTGGTCCGAGGGAGGATCCCCGGGGCATCTTTTCCGGTCGATGGACCATGTGTTTCAGCTGGTCGACATATGTTGACGGAGCAGAGGCCTGGTTGTTTGTGGCCGGAATTCAAGGCACGCGTGAAGTCATCACCAGTTGTTGACCCGAAGGGGAAGTGCGCGGTTAATGTCGCTTACATCCTTTTTGCGAGTGTGAGCCACTCTACGTTGTCCACGCCCCCTCCTTGTTCCTTCGTCGTCTCTCCTTTCCTATGGCATGCAATCGTATGTTTTGTGGGCATCCAGTGCTGGTTGTGTGCTTTTACCGGTCTACCGGACAACGCCTCCCCCCCCCCCCCCCTCTCCTCCCTGCTACGATGGACAGTCTGTGATACTCACTGGGCTTGTCACATATTTACGGACACCCCATATAGCACGCGGTCTGATCGCGCCTCGCGGGGTAGTGAAAGCGGCCGGGCGGTGGGCACACCAGCCTTTCACGCTGTGGCTCGATAGTTTTGCTGTCGTTCGTGATCAAGCTTTTCGGTTGAGTCGTCGTTCAAGTTTAGTCGTGATCATCCGTGATGTTTGGCGGCTTGCCTTGTCGGCCGCAGGCGCGTTGGTGCGCCTCCTAAGCCGCAAATACACTTCATGTCATATTGCGCGTCTGCGGACATTCGTGCATGCTTATTTGTCAGTCTGTCTTGGTGAGTACCTAAGAGGAAGCTGTGGCGGGACACTTCGCTTGCGGCGCCGTTTGTTCCTGTGTACTGATCGTCACGCTGACCAGACGTGTGCAAGCTGGGCGTGCCTGGGCTTTGTGTTGCTTGGGAGGCCCCGGGTTTAATTTTCATTCGTGGCATTTTTGCGAACCACGGCTCGCCGACCGGCCTGGAAGGGATCTAATCTTATGATTCAGCTATGATTGGGCGCCGCGCGCGCCTGATGATTGTGCTCATTGGCGTCGTTTGAGCACAATCATCAGGCACGCACGGCGTCATATCATATCACTGCGCTCAGGCACGCCACGTAGTTGGACCCTGGCTGGCTAACCGTGGCGTGATATAACGCGTACCTACCCTGAATCGTGACGTGACGTAACGTGACGTGCCCGCCCTGAATTGTGGCGTAACGTGACGTGCCCGTCCTGAATCGTGACGTGACGTGACGTGCCTGCCCTGAATTGCGGCGTAACGTGACGTACCCGCCTGGAATCGTGACGTGACGTACCTGCCCTGAATCGTGACGTGACGTGACGTGCCTGCCCTGAATTGTGACGTAACGTGACGTACCCGCCCTGAATCGTGACGTGACGTGACGTGCCTGCCCCGAATTGTGGCGTAATGTGACGTACCCGCCCTGAATCGTGACGTGACGTGACGTGCCTGCCCTGAATTGTGACGTAACGTGACGTACCCGCCCTGAATCGTGACGTGACGTACCCGCCCTGAATCGTGACGTGACGTACTTGCCCTGAATCGTGACGTGACGTGACTTGCCTGCCCCGAATTGTGACGTAATGTGACGTACCCGCCCTGAATCGTGACGTGACGTGACGTGCCTGCCCTGAATTGTGACGTAACGTGACGTACCCGCCCTGAATCGTGACGTGACGTACCCGCCCTGAATCGTGACGTGACGTACTTGCCCTGAATCGTGACGTGACGTGACGTGCCTGCCCTGAATTGTGACGTAACGTGACGTACCCGCCCTGAATCGTGACGTGACGTACCTACCCTGAATCGTGACGTGACGTGCCGTGCCTGCTCTGGATCGGGACGCGACCTGTCCGTGTAGTTGAAATAATGTCACGCCCCGGCCGTGTAGCGTTCCGCTGTGGTCCGTGTCCAGTCGGTGACCGTGACCGTGACCGTGATCGTGATCGTGACCGTGACCGTGACCGTGACCGTGACCGTGACCGTGCCGGCGACGGTGCCGGTGCCGGCGACGGTGACGGTGACGGTGACGGTGACGGTGCTGCCGTGTGCCGCCAGGCCGTCGGGCGGCGCAGCCAGCCACACCCAGCAGCTGCTGCTGTGCCTGCCGGTGCTGCGGCAGGTGGACCCGGCCGTCAAGCAGTTCTGGCTGAACACGCGTCGCGACGGCAAGATCCACATGGACAAACTGTTCATCGAGATGCTGCAGTCGCAGGCGCGATAGTCCGCGGCGCCGTCAGTGTGCGCCGCCGCCGCCGCCGCCGCCGCCGCCGCCGCCGCCGCCGCCGCCGCCGCCGGCGCCGCCGCCCCGCGGAGCTGGTCCTGCCGGCGGCGGCGGCCTGCCGATGATCCGGGCGCGACGGCCGGCTGTGATAAGCCTGCCGCCGACAGAAGGCGACTCCTTGGGCGGGTGACGCCGCAGGACCACACTGTGCCGCCGCGCGTCACCTCTGGCGGGGAGTGCCAGAGGACGTACAGAGTGCCGCGAGTGCCACCTCTGTGATGGGGAGTGCCGGAGCACGGTCACAGCCGAGCGCGCCGGCGACTGGCTTGTCCAGTAGCTCTTCCCTTTTCTAAGATCTTTTAGTAACAAAGTCTGACTTATGGATTGTTTGTAGCCGAATCGAATCTTGTTTTGTATATTCAATAGTCGTGTACATTTTACAGTGCTGTATTTTTTAGTTGTTCAGCAGCATATGTATGGGCATTGGTATTTAGTGCAGCGGGCGGGACCCATTGGTGTCACAGTGTTCTCTCACCCTTTCTTTCTCAGCTTGCGTATGTGCCCGCGTTCCCTCTCTGTCCTCAGTCTCTGCCCTCCCTCGTGTCTGTGATGTGCCTCTGTGTCGCTGTGCGTTTTCCCTGTGGCGCCCTCCAGCGCCACAGCCCTGCGAGCCCTGTCCTCACTCCGTCAAGACCACGCTGTAGGCATGCAGCAGTAGGCGTAGGGATTTCATACGGTGCGTGAGTGTGTCCGCGTGAGTGCGTGAAGCTCGCGTGCGGTCCGGTTCCTGAGAGTCCGTCGGCCCGCGCCCGCGCCCGCGCCGCCCGGTCGTGCGGGTGACCCGGCGCGACGGGGGCGGCCGCTGTCAGCGCCGACGCGGCCGCCGGTCGCTGGTCTGGCCATGATCTGAGCGGCCGGGGACGGCCCGGCGCCGGCCCCGGACCGCCGACGTCCGGCGAGTCGCACGGCCGGGCCGAGGCTCGCGCCCGCCGGCACCGCGACGACGGAGCACGGCGGTGCCGCCGCCGCCGCGGCGTACTGGGACCAACGGCGACCGGGCCGCGCCGAGCCGGGCCGTCGCCGGCGATGGCGGTGCCCGGCGGCTGGCGGCCGATCCCAGTGTACGTAGCAATAGCGACGCGTCGGCGAGGGTTCTCTGCAGTCTCCGGGCGCAGGCAATGCAACTCAGGTGATGCCCTGCGCCCGCCGCGCGGTGGCGCCGCCTGGCGGCCGCCACGCCGCGTGCCGCCCTCTGTACAGAGCGGCCGGAGCGGGCGCCGCCGCGCCCGGCCCCGGAGGCCCGCGCGCGCGGCGGCCGCGCCCAGCTGCGCTCCCGGTGCTTTAGTCTCCCCGTTTTGTTGGTTACGCCATCCGAATACCCCGCTTCTCCGAGCCCGGATGTGTTTGTTGAGTTTCTGGACAGCGGTTATTTATTGTTTTAGGCGCCGACCGCTGGCCGGCCGCCGCACGGTGTCCGCCGCGTTAGCAGCCTGTGTAGCCTCCGCCTTGTTTCAGTTCGCGTTCGCTGGTGCCGCCTCGGCGCCGTGGTGGTTTGGTTATCCCGGCCCGTTGGCGGCACTTTTGATCTGGCCCATGCTTGGGCGTGCCCCGGCACGTACTCGTGTCGCGGGTTTGTGCGTCGCTTCGTCGCGCGCGACCGACCGACGATCTCGCCCCGGGCGAGGTCGTGCCCTGCCCCCTTCTCCCTCCACTCCGCCGTCGCCGTGCCCCGCCTGTCCCTCATCTTTGTATGTATGAGCCAATTCTGTCCAGTACAAACTTTTTTGTATTTAAACAGGCTAACCGGACTGCCTAATAAAGGTGGAAACAGGTGCGCGTTTGTTTCGTCCCGGGTGCTGATCTGTTTGCGATTGGCGTGCTCATGGCTGTGTGTGTGTGAGGTCTGAGCCGGACTGATGACTCCCGCAAATCAGATGCAAATCGCCATGAATATTGGGCCAGAGCGGCAGCGTTCCACAGAAAAAAAGGTTACAAGCTCGTGTCATGCGAGCTAGTGTCACAACTCGTGTCGCTGACTGCTGCGAACGCGAAGAATCGCGTGGCTTATATACAGAAGTGGCCTGGCAGCGAATGGGACCTGGTCGCCCAGGCCTCCACATGGAAATGCCAACGGGTACTAGAGCGCTGCAGAGCAGCTTCACGTAGTGGAGATGTCGCCTTATGTAACGCGGACAGCATTCTTGCGTCCTCTCCAGAAATGCACTGCATGAAAACCCGATGCAGGGGAGGCTGGCCCCCGATCTGTTCAGCGGTCTTACCGGCACGACCAATACACAACACCGTCCAGTCGCCGAGCCACGGAGGGAAATGCTGCGAGGAAAAGACCAAAAAGTGCGAACGATTGCGCCCCTGGATGCAGCATTGAGAGCAGATTTGAGCTGTCATTGTGAATGCTTTTGCCGTGAAGAAGGCCTGTGCGGTCCACGTCCGAGCGCTGACATGGCGAATAGGCATAAACATACTCAGTTATATACCTCCAATGGGGTTATCCTCTCAACGTGTCGTGTGCACAGGTGTTCATCAGATGAAAACGAGCGCATTCGAAGCCCGATAATTTAAAGGACACCCGCGGGACGCCCGTCGCACCGCTTCAAACCCATCTGCCACCGGGAAGCGGCCATCTGGTGCGGCAGGACGTCTCCCGGCCGTGACGCCGCACGGGAGTGCCGCCCCCGCTGACCCGGGCCGCGCGCGCTCACCGTCGGCTGGCGACCGGGCGCGTCCGGTCGATGCGCATCGCCGTGCGCGGTCGAGCGACGTCGGGGCGCCGCAGACGTGGAGATACGAGGCGGGGTTTTCCTCGTGGTGGCAGTGGCGCGCTCCGCGTCACGTCACGTCGCGTCACGTCATCTGCGGTCGGCCGTTTTAAGGCAGATGGAGGTGGAGTGGCGTAATCACGGTGCCGCGCCACTAACGCCGCGTTCTCGGAATGCAGCGCTTCTGGCATGCGCTTTTGCGTGACTGCTCAGTCAGTCCAGACGGGCGTGCGGTGCCATGCATGTCATGGCACGTGTTAGCAGGGAGGAGAGCTACAAGACTGCGTACCAAGATGGTGGCGCCCAAAGGGTCGTCATAAAGGAACTGCTTTTTGAACGCGTGGGATGTTAGTAGAATGCAGTTCCATGGTAGATTGTTGTTCCATTGTAGCTTCGCGTTGGATAATTATGACTTATATGTGCAGTGCGCCAAGAAAATACTCATTTCAATTGGAAGGGTTTTGATGGACGATAGTTAACAATATGGTGGCAGCTGGTGGTTAGCTGAGCCATGCTCGGAACGCCAGCCATCTCGCAAACTGGAACATCGCAACAACTGATCACGGTGAGACGCAGTTAAATTCCGCATCACTTCGTTTTGACTTTCACGCTCCATTTCGCTTCAGGGGAGATGATTCCGAGTGTGAACCACAGCGCATGCAGGTGATTCTAATCTGGGCTTCTGGTGGGGATCAGCAGAACTTTGAATCGATTCCGGTTCTGTCTTAATGATCTATTGTTTGTTGTTAGGACTGATTCCGATAGCCGATTCAGACGACACGGATTCCAATGAAGTCGGTTCATGTGACAATGGAATCGGAGGTAACCCGTTATGTTATGTTTTTAAAGCTCTTATAGATGCATTTATTTTGATTATATTTTTAAAGATTTGGTCCGAACTCTTTGAATGGCTGGATTTCAGGGATCAGAGCTCACGCTAAGCAGTGCTTGTTGTGCGAACCCTGACCCCTACCACCCGATCGCGCAATTCCATGTCAAGGGCAGAATTTGGGTTCGAAAGCTTAACGTGCCGCAATGCTCGACACGGTCCGTCCTGCCCTCTGATGTCAACTGACCTTCAACGCGACCACTGCCACCGGCCGTAGGCCATACCTGTCGAGGGCAAACAGCGAGCGTCCTAAAGCGACTCGAACCCACCCCGCCACGGATGGGTGGATCGGAAGACAGGTGCTCTAACCAACTGAGCCACTGGGACGGACTAATTATAATATATTTGCATACGTGTATGAATTATTGTGTGCGCCTAGGTGTGAGTATGAATGTACAATCATGCGTATATTTGTGTCTCAGTCGACTCACTGACGATCTGGTTCACCCAACTGACTCCGACCGACAACACAACTCCAAACTTCGACTTCACCTTGACCCGTCCAAACGTCGGTTAATTCCGCAGTCGTTTCCGATCCGGGATCAGCCACATAAGGGTTTCGCGGTCCTTGCTGATTCCTCGCGCAACAACGAACAGTATCACACGTTTTTGCGTCTGGGCATCCCCGCATGTCAGCTTCGTCTCAGCTCGAAACTACAACAGCCGCAAGCCACCCAGCCTCGCTGTTGCTAGGCCCGCGGCTATAAATTTGCGACCCGCTGGCCGACCGCTCCTCGAGAACGATCGACCCAGCTTGGACCCTGTTACGCCGCACCGCCGCCAGGTGTCTCTGCCGGCCGTTGGCAACGCGTAGTGCCGGCCGCCGCGATCAGCTGATCGGCCGGGCGGCTGGCGCGGCCTCTGCCACCGGCCATTCGGTCTGTGACTGGGAACGCCGCTGGACGGTACGGCGGGGAAACGAGGCGCGCCGCCATGAACGGAGACGTGGGCAACAACAGGATCATCGCCTCGGGCGAGAAGAAGGTGGCGATCGTTGGCGGTGGACTGGTGAGTACCGGCGGCGGCGGCGGCGGCCGCGGCGCTGGGGGGCCGGTGTGACCTGGGAACCGGCCAGCCCCGGGTTTATCCAGCCATCTGACGTTCGAAATGGCGCTCCCCTGACCGTCCTTCTGCGAACCGTGCTGGCTGTTGGCCGGTCGTCAACGCGGTCCTCCTACGTGGCTGAAGGATCCTGGAGGCGTGGGAGGGGGGGTCTAATTGACCGATCGCCCACGCTGGGACCGGCCGCCGGTTGTGCAGCCCGCCATCCATGCTGCGGCAGGTACGGCGCGCCAGGGGCGACGCTGGAGGACACGGCTCTGGGGTGACGCGGTAGGAGGGAGAGGAGTGTGTGCTCAATGTACCGCTCTGGAGTGCTTCTGAGGAGGGGGAGGCGAGTGTGCTCGACGTACCGCTCTGGGGTAACGGGGGAGGAGGGAGAGGGGTGTGCTCATTGCATCGCTCTGTAGTGAGCTCGACACTCCGCTCTGGGGTGACAAAGGAGGAAGAGGAGGGAGTGCGCTCGACTCACCGCTCTGGGGTGACGCGGGAGGAAGGGGAGGGAGTGCGCTCGACTTACCGCTCTGGGGTGGCGCGGGAGGGAGTGGAGGGAGTGCGCTCGACTCACCGCTCTGGGGTGACGCGGGAGGACGGGGAGGGAGTGCGCTCGACTTACCGCTCTGGGGTGACGCGGGAGGAAGGGGAGGGAGTGCGCTCGACTCACCGCTCTGGGGTGACGCGGGAGGAAGGGGAGGGAGTGCGCTCGACTTACCGCTCTGGGGTGGCGCGGGAGGGAGTGGAGGGAGTGCGCTCGACTCACCGCTCTGGGGTGACGCGGGAGGACGGGGAGGGAGTGCGCTCGACTTACCGCTCTGGGGTGACGCGGGAGGAAGGGGAGGGAGTGCGCTCGACTCACCGCTCTGGGGTGACGCGGGAGGACGGGGAGGGAGTGGCTCAACTCACCGCTCTGGGGTGACGCGGGAGGACGGGGAAGGAGTGCGCTCGACTCACCGCTCTGGGGTGACGCGGGAGGACGGGGAGGGAGTGCGCTCGACTCACCGCTCTGGGGTGACGCGGGAGGACGGGGAGGGAGTGCGCTCGACTCACCGCTCTGGGGTGACGCGGGAGGACGGGGAGGGAGTGCGCTCGACTCACTGCTCTGGGGTGACGTGGGAGGAAGAGGAGGAGTGCGCTCGCCTCACCGCTCTGGGGTGACGTGGGAGGAAGAGGAGGAGTGCGCTCGGCTCACCGCTCTGGGGTGACGCGGGAGGAAGAGGAGGAGTGCGCTCGACTCACCGCTCTGGGGTGACGCGGGAGGGAGTGGAGGGAGTGCGCTCGACTCACCGCTCGGGGTGACGCGGGAGGACGGGGAGGGAGAGCGCTCGACTCACCGCTCTAGGGTGACGCGGGAGGAAGGGAAGGGAGTGCGCTCGACGTACCACTCTGAGGTGACGCTGGTTCTGTGGCCTGGCAGGTGGGAGCGCTGAATGCCTGCTATCTGGCACGGCACGGCGTGGAGGTACACCTGTATGAGTACAGAGATGGTACGTAACTCCCACGCGTGGATGTGTTGTATGTGCGGTCGGCAGTGAAGAACAGCATTGTTGTTGTTCTTGAAGAACAGCAATGTTGAACAACATTGTGCTCGTTTAGTACGCCTGTCATGTGTTGTATTATCCAACATGTTTGGTGTTACATAATTTATTGGGATGACACATAAATATATATTTTACAAAAACGTAAAATTATATCTTAAAATATAATTTAACGGTATTCATTTTTTTATATACATGCGCATATATATATATATATATATTATATATATATATATATATATATATATATATATATATATATATATATATATGATATCCAACTTTGCATCACACGTCAGAATAAGGTGTGCAAAATGGAGCAGGGCAGCCTTGGCCTGGTGCAGAGGAGATCCATCACCAGAATAATCCTGCCGTTTCGTAAGCATTGGCTGCATGCATATTATCGAGGTGCAGGACGAGTGGCACGCCTTACTTTTACTAAGCAGCACTGCGTCGCTGTTAAATAGAAATGCAATACATCAAAGCTATATTGCATTGCGACGTCATTGGGTTATAGGTGCCCTCATGAGCGGCAAGCGATTAGCACCAGCGTAACGCCAATTTCAGGTGACGAATAAATGAACAACTTCAAGAGGCCAGTGCCGTAACACAAACAACGAGGCATCCGTTAGCTAACTCAAACTCTTGTGAATGAACTTACAAAGACGAGACGCATGGCCCTAACCAGAACAGATTGTAGTCTGAAGTGGCTCCAGCTGCTGTAGTTCGTGTAGGCCTTGCTGCATGTTCGCGAGCATGGCAAATGCCTGGCCGCTATCTCATAAACATAACGTTACATGCGTCCGCCCGACTGCATTTGCTTCATCGCCTCTTAGCCGTGTCATCGAGTTGGGTGTCAATCGTCAATGTCGATGTCTGTGTCAATCAGCAAATAGTCAGCAGTCCAACGGTTAAAAGTTCACGCTTGGGTTTTGGTTCCTCGTGCCGTGCATCCGGCAGCACGCGATCACGCACCACTGGCGGGACACTGGGGTGGTGTCGGGACCGGGCACCCGAGCCCTCCGGGTAGCTGCTGGGTATCAGCTCCCCACCTAACGGGAGCTGCACATCAGATATGTGCATCCAGAGTGTTGAATGGCCTTGCCATCCATTGAGCACCGCCGACCGGTGGAGTTCTCGGAAAGCAGCGCCCCCTGGCGCCGGCGTCGCTCACCGTCGGGCGGCGGCGTCGCGTGTGGAGGCGGCCGCAGCGCGCCGGGCCGACTGCGCCCGAGCCGGTAACCCGAGCCGGCTGCCGGGGCGGCGGCGGCGAACCGGAGCCGGCCGCGGCCGCGTCGCGGTCGACGCGCTCCCACCGGGCGCCGACGCGCCGGCTTCGCTTACCGGCGAGACGACAGGGGAGCCGCCGCTGCGGCTCAGGTGGCCGGATCAGAAGCCGGCCGCGCGGGCGGCCGGCGGCGTGAGGCGCGGCAGCGGGGTCGGGCTGGCCCCGGCCTGGGGAGGCGATTAGGAGCGTGTCCTCGCCTTCGGCTGGTGTGGAAATTAAGCCACCGGTGACGATGGTGGGGAGGGATCACGCTCGGTACGGACAGGTGCCGTGCATTGTGTGAGTGCGGTGAGATCAGGACCTCACCCAGGTACGCGGCGGGATACCCCCACGGGGCGGCTGTTGGGACCCTCGTTCCGGATGGTGGGACCGTCATGGGACGGGTGGTCAAGCTGTGACTCACCACAGGCGGCCGTGAGGGGCAGGTCCCCTGCCACGCAGGTGTAAGCGTCGGACACACCTGGTCAGATTTTAGAGATCAGATCTACGCGATGCATTTTTTTCATGACTAACGGCCGTTGCCTTGGATCGGTTTGAGGATATTACAACTACCGTCCGGTACGAATTCAGCAGGCATGAAATCGACGCACGCCTGGAAGGGTATCACACGAAAACATGCCACCATCTGTCGAGACCGGACGTTCGTAAGCGGCTCAGACCCAGGCCCGGAACCGATCGGGATCAGACGATCCAGCCGGCGGATTCCGGGCCGGCCAGGGCGCGTGGTCTTGCTCCCGGCCGTCTCCAAGGCCCTGGCGGGGCACGTCAGCACGCGTGCGTGTGGCCGCTGTCGGCCTGGTCCATTAGGAATACGGCCGCTGTCGGACCCCCAAGGCCGGCGCCGATGAAGCGTGGCAGCGTATCTTGGGTGGTAAACAAGCTCACGGCATGCCTGTGAGCTGACTTGTCAGTTTTTGCGTGTGATATGATCAAGGCAGTTCACTGCAGCTGGTGGTTATGTTTGAGCTCGCGTTAATGATCGGAAGATCATTTTTGTTTTCGGTTTCTTGCAGCGTATTATATTCCGAACTGCCATGGTCAACATCTGCAGGCCATGGAATTTTCGGTTATTTCTGGCCATGGAAAAAAATGCCAAAATCGTGCCTGTCTTGGGGCATGTTGGTCTGCCCCCGGCGCATGCTTCACTCGTGTCTGTGCGGCCGAGCCAAGTTCGCTAGACCTTACCTGTGGGCACCGTGGCTCGTTCACCACCGCAGCACCTTGATTCATTCCCTTATGTTGTTTCGCACGCGCCGTCTTGACTTAAACTGTACTCTGCTGCCGTTCCTCTTGCAACTCAGCACTAAGTTTAAGCACTGTTTAACAGCACTAAGCGCTGTTAAACGAAGCTCCTCGTGGCGGCCGGCTGCGGCTGCTGCGGCTCTGAGCACCGTCGTGGCCAGCTGCGTGCGAGCCTGGCCTGTCGATCCCAGCCATCCCTCGACGCACCGACAGCGGTGTCTTCCGCGCCGGCAGACATCCGCCAGATGGAGCACGTGGCGGGGCGCAGCATCAACCTGGCGCTGAGCTTCCGCGGCCGCAGCGCGCTCGCCCGGGTCGGTCTGGAGCAGAAGGTCATCGAGCAGCACGGCATCCCGATGTACGGACGGATGATCCATAACCCGGACGGCAGCCGACGCTCCATCCCCTACGGCAAGGCGGACCAGGTCAGTGGCGGCCGAGGGCGGGTCAGAGGCCGGGCTGGGTCAGATGAGGGGAGGGCGAGGCGGACCAGGTCAGTGGCGGCCGAGGGCGGGTCGGAGGCCGGGCTGGGTCAGATGAGGGGAGGGCGAGGCGGACCAGGTCAGTGGCGGCCGAGGGCGGGTCAGAGGCCGGGCTGGGTCAGATGAGGGAGGGCAATGTGGGCAAGGCCAGGCCGGCGGGGAGGCAGGGTTAGTCACGACAGGTCGGCAGTTCGGTCGTTCCAGTTCGGTCCAGGCTTGTCTGCGGTGGCTGGGACCAGGACCCAGTTTCATAAATGAAAGTTACCTCCGACCCCTGGCGGGCTAAAGTAATTTCGGCGTAGCTTCCTACTTCCCTTGCGGGTTTTACAAACCGGCATCACCGCTCCGAAAAGGATCGTAAAATGTCGAGGCTGAAGTAATTTCCCCGGCACGCCCGTTCCTTGTCAATGACAACCATATTTGTGGCGGGCAAGCGCCCCTGGCGGCGGTTATCCTTCTAGGTACTTCGGCGAATTATCGATGAAAAGCGCCCATGCTCAACACTTACCCCCCCCCCCTTTCTTCGGCTGTTTTTGGACCCGGAACGAGCGCGATAAGTCAGGATAGGTTGAGGTAGGCGCTGTTGCCGAGGATGAGAGTGCCGGCCGCTGGCCCTCCGTTCTCAAAGCTGCAGCAGTTGAAATAACGACATACAGTTGACACAAACAGTGCAGCCATGACTGGCGCTCTTTTGCATTTTTTTACCGCCAGTCGACTTGGGATGTTTGATCACCATTCTCTATAGAATGACCACTTTGCTTAGCACATGATGGCAACACGCAATGATGCGTATAAGGAAGCATGTAAGACAGCGTCATAGCTGATGGCATGCTTAAACCAAAAGCTTGCAATTAAGTTGCGTCAGCACGTGACGTTTAAATATGTATGAGCTAATCGCAAGCATCGTTTCTTCACAAAAGCACGTCATTTACAACTCGATCGCGCCAGACGTCCGCGAAACAGGGGCGTCATGGACATGGCCGGTCTCGTGGGCCGGGAGGGCGAGCACCTCACTGTCCGGTCCGGCGGCGACCATCACGTTAAGGCTCGTTTGCCCTTTGCGGTTCGTATACCGGTCGACTTTATCGGTTGCCACGAGGAAGTTCACGTGCGTCCCATCTCCGCACCCTGAAATAAATATCCGGAAGCATGAGATTCCTTTCTGAATGCAGAACGGAGCGGAGAGCTTCACCCAAACTAGAGGACAAAACTGTAGAATTACACGTGCATTGTTTGGCGACCAATCGCAACAAATGCCTTCGAATTAACGTCACGATTATGAGGTGTGGAGCGCTACTTGACGGTGTGCGTGATGGGTGAACGTGACGATTAGGGCTATCCAAGGCGTGATAGGTGTAGGGCCGTCGTGCGGATGTGTTTCTTTGGCAGCAGGCCACTTGCCTGCAACAGCCAGAAGGCCCTGCCTACGGAAAAAATTTTATCTGGGCTTTTTGGAGCTTTTGTCCAGTCGGGCACGCCACGGCGCCAGCTAGTCGAGCCTGTATTGCCGCGCTTGCACGATGGATGACGTGGCATGCAGTCGTCTTCGGCAGTCTAAAGGCCGTCAGCCACAAGCAAATAAACCCGGCCGGATACAAAGAACCTGAAATTAAGGTCCCACTACATTTTTATGTTTCCAAACATTCTTCGCATAGCCTGCGACGTAGTAAACAAACCACATGTCTTGTTGGTTATTACACGTGGCATTCCTTTCCAATAGCGTCAGATTTCCTCGCTACTGCCACATGTTGCGGGTGCAATGCGATGAGTGCACTACACGCAGCATAAACGAGATGACGTATTGACGTCCGGCTGATGGTGCCAACAGTACCAGCCATGGATATGGTACATCATATTCATCATACATCATATCATGCCTATCTATGACCAATGCTTATTACAATTACCTCATACATAACTATCAATCTGCCTTCACATGTGGCAGAATTACTTTCACATCATTCACCTGAGCACGGTGAGCAGCTGTTCGCACGGTGCTAGTGCACGGTGCCGCCGGGCGAGGTGGGCTAAATCAGGGCCGATTTAACCTATCAGATCACGGCAGAGATCTGAAAACAGTTCCTGGAAGCATGGGGGGGGATTACGAGCATTGGCGTGTGATGTAAAGACAAAAAAGTATGCGAGTGTAAGGCTGGAGGGCTCGTTTTAAGAACAACAAGCTGTTACGCCTCTGATATATGCTGCAGATCCTCGCACTCCGCCAGTCGTCATGATATTTATGTGTAGGTAAAATGAAAATCATCTTTCCATTTGACATCAACTTAGCCGGCACAACGGCAATGCCAAAGCAAATGACCAAAACACTCGTCATGTAGCTACGGTGTCGGGAAGACCAGGCGGTTTGAAACCCATGCTTGTTCATATAGAAAACGTAGGACAGTCACCACCATCAGAGATGCAAGTAAAATAAACGTATTTTCCGGAATGATCTAGACATTTCCCACGTATGTTCATCCGTTCGAAAAACGTCTTACGCCTCTGCTCTTGATTTTGCGCTGGCTCTTCTATGACCACAGCTGTTCATTTTACCACGATGCAGGGCATCTTTTTATTTTACTTCACTTTCGACGTAAAATTTTACTCAGCGGCCAAATCAGTTGCGTTTATGAAACCTGGCGGGTGCTTGCTGAAGTGTGTAGAAGAATCCTACCCCGCTTGCTCCTGTGAATAGTAAAATTCGATGTTGAAGTAAATAATTGCTTTTACACTAGGCAACCTGACACGAAGTAAAAACTTGGACAGCTACTCCCTACGCCAGAACTGTGCGCCATGCTCTCTTAACGCAATTGGTTACAGGTCGATTTGTGTATCAGGTTACACAAGGTCAGACACTCGCATAGGAGCAAACCACTTTATGTCCCCATGACTGGTCACGTAAGGTCAACTTGTGTGCTCATCAATCCACACCTGATGCGTCCCGTATGTCGCGTCGCATCAGGTTTTTTGTATAATGTTTGCATCAGGTCACACCAGGTCAGTTCCATTCAGCGCTTGTGACGTCACAGGATCTGGCATGGCTGGTCAACCATTCCGGGGCTCAGGTTTGGCTTTCAGACTGCGCTGCATCGCGCCAGGAGTCGTTACCAGGCAGATCTCCACACACCTTTTTGCACCGTTGCACCACTGCACATACACATCTATATACACCTTTGTGCATCCCCATACACCTTTTTGCACCGTTGCAGCTGTATGTTCAATCGCTGCTGGAATGGCGGCCCGGTTCGAACCCGGTCGGATCGTATCGTGCTCTAGGTCACAGGGCGCCTGATCGGCTGAAGCTGTCCAAACCCCAGCCGAACAAATTGTTGAGGTGATGGATTGAGGAAAGGCGCATAAAAAGTGCGAAATACTCGTGCGCGCTAACAGTGGTATTGGTCACGCATGTATCTGTGCATTTGGCTCCGATCCTGTGACGGCCTGCGTCGCCGTGGTATTCCGTCCTTCCGTGTATTTGGTTGGTGGCTGGCCTATCAAACCCCCACGATTGAAAGCACTTGAAGTGGAAAACGACAGCCTTACGGAATTAGCTGAAGGCTGGAAGCCGAATCGAACGGAAACAATGGAGATAAAATGCAAACAGATCCTACGCAAACCTCTTTGTAAGCGATATACATAAGGTTACATGGTCCGCTGGCGCCGGCGGACTTCATCGGTCTTGGCCGGCGAGGGATCCCGCCCGGGTCCCATTCAGCCGCCACCACGTGGTGCTACCGCGCCGCCGGGTCACGCGGGCTGACATTTGCACGAGCTCGCTTGCATGACCTGTTGAAGGCTTACCGTTCCATACGCCCCCCGATTCCGGCCGGATAAGCGCGCTCGTGTTCGGCGCCTGCGCGCCGTCGGCCAGCACCCCTCCGGCGTTTGCTCCCGTTCGGCAGTAGCCGTGCCCGTGTGAGGTCACTGCGCGGCCAGTGGGGACTGACCGGGCCGCCAACCAGCCGCTGGCAGGGCGGTACGTCAGCGGGCCAGAGGTCCTCACCGGAAGGGGTTTGTTTTGCCGAAGTCGTTCCCAACGTCCTATTGCCTGATTAGTAACGTCGCTAATCCATGCGGCCCTTTCCACCCAGCTGTGTACTATTTTGAACGCTTTCTGAGCGATCAAGGAGGTTGAACGATTCAGTTCTTAACACCTAACTTTACTCCTTTTGCCTCAATGATCTTTAAAAGTACAATTCATTGTAGTTTGGCAAAAATGGCATACTATTTTATAATCTTCCTTCTGTAATATTTATGACATGCCCCGAAGTGTCTTCCCGACATTTCTTGGGGCTCGCACATATTCTCGTGATCTTGAGCTTCCCAAACACATCCCATCGTCCCAGGCTCTGTGACCTGAATCGGTGTGGGGCGTGGGGAGCAATGGTCACCACTCACCAACAGACCCGGAGGCTCTCGGGAACGCCACTGCAACGCCACACAAGACCATGCACATTGTAAATAGGGGCATACCTTGCGCCCTGTTACGTATATAAACCATGCGGGGCTGTGTTGTGAGACGGTACAGCCGCACCCACAAGGCCCATCACGCCAGATGACCCTTATATCCACACCGTGGCGCAACGTGTACGCCTGTCACGAGCAATTAGACAAACCTCACTGCGCGCCCGCAATGTGTTTATGTGTTGGCGGCAGGGGGCGTGACCGCGGTGGTGGTAAAGGGTCGGGGGCGTGGCCGGATGGCAGGCGCCGCCGCACGCATCCTGCACCCTGTCCACGCTCCGCCGCGGGCCAGCCGGCGACGCACCGAGCTGGAGGGGGCGGGGCGAAGCGCCAGCCCGCGGCCGCCGCAGGCGCCACACGTGGGCGACCCGCTCCACCAATCAGCGGCCGCGCGCAGTGGGCGGGCCCGGGGGCGGGTCGGCCGCCGGCGGTCTGACACCGCCGCCTGGTGAGCGGGGTTGTCCCTGGGGTGACCGCGCGAGGTCGCGCCCGGACCGGTGACGTGGCGGCCGGAGCAGGGCACGGCCGGCCAAGGGCCTTGTGTTTACCGCCCGCGACAGTGCCAGACAGCCTGTTTGCTTACGTTCGCGGGACGGCTGGCTGTGGCGGAACACTGGGCGGTCGCTGCGACACATGGTGAAACGCAGCCGCCGCTGCATTGGCTGCTGGCGCACCGAGGCACGCTTGTTTATAAGCCGCTCACATTGCTTCCACAGTCGCGCCAGAACGCACGCTGCAAACAGGGCAGAGCAGTAACATCACCGCTGCGCGCGGAGGCACCCTATTGTGGTCACCAGTCCCGGGTCCGAGCTGAGATGAGGTGGACAAACATGGACTATCATGATCTTATCATACATTCGGGTTCCGCTTACATCGGACCTTATCAATCACATCAAATAGTCCCATTGTCATAACGTTGAGACACGATATATCTCTCGACCCATTAGGTTTGGTGATTGATTGATCGGCCCGTGATTTATTGCAAAGCCCGGCGGATCTGCGCAGACGTCTTTGAATGGGCTGTCGTCGGCGCAGTCTTGGTGTTCCGGTACACCAATCAGCGGCCGCGCATGGTGGGCGGGCCGGTGGAGGACATATTTAGGCATGTTCGTAAATGCATATCAAGGGTACGTCTTTAGCGGCGTAGTTTCGCAAAAGAAGTTTAAATGTAAGTGTCAAATGCCCCACAAGACATTACATATACATATCTATTTATGGGTAATATATATATATATATATATATATATATATATATATATATATATATAATAGCTTGAGTGTTCCGGGGAGGGGGGCAAACTGATGTCGACGCTGAATGCCAATTATGAAAATGATGTTCACAATAACTAACTATTTACTCAATGCACGCAAAAAGAACGCTTAAAACCCAATTCTGCATCGTTCGGCCTCACGTTTCCAAAAGTGATAAACAGAACCAACACAAATGCAATGATCTACGACTAACTTCGGCTGGCGTATGGCCGCCGGCCGACGCCGGTTCAGGGAGAGCACACCTGCCATTCGGAGGGAAACTTCGTGGCCCGTTCTTGCCGCTTGTCCAGTCCAAGGCCATCAGCTTTCCTCTCGTAGTGTGTGGGCTGTGTGAGAACGTGCCACTCGGTCTGACATGAGAGCGATGCACCCAGTCTCACGAGATGAGTTTAAGTTATAGTCAGCTGACGTCCAGACGGCTCTGGCGCCGCTGCCATTGGGAGATGTTTCGTATGACCCCCCACGTCGATGTGATGACAACTGCTCGACTATTTGTGACGTTATAAGAAAGCAGTCCTC